GTGGTGGCCATGCTTGTGTGTGAGAAGAGAACTTTTTCTAGTAATGTAAAAATAGAGACATATATATATATATATATACACACACATATATATAATATATATCTATGGTTATCTTCCAGGTATATCGTGTAATAAGTAGAAGGATGTGACTGTGCAAATTGCTCCATTCAGCTGTATTCATACACATCTCCAGAACTCTACTAAGAAGTTGGTTAGTCTTGTATACTCTTGCTTTTGTAAGAGGTGGCTGCAGAACATTTATAACATTGAGGACTTGTGTAGACAGGCGCTGTTGTTAGACGCTATCTATTGCATTTGAACACAGCACTCTTTAAACATAAAATGCACCAGAAGGCTCTATTTGACCTGCCTTGCCTGCAATTCAAATGCATCTTAATAGGACCTGCTGTGTCCAATGAAATGCAAGTTGGTCAAAAGTAGCCTCAGAACTGTCCTGAGGGGCAAATGCTTGAGGGCCTACACCGCATTCACGATGAGATCTTTGACATTTAAGGTAATTTGATTGTGGGAAACCTACTTAAATGTTTTTTTGTGGATGAAGGATATCATTACGCTGAACTGGAGCATGGCGTGCCAGATATTGATCCGTCATATCTATCTTTACAGATGGAGATTAAGGTTTGCTGTATTTTGGATACTGCAAAATGATTCTGGTCACCAGAAAACAGATAAGGACTTCTGCAGGGATGCAGATTATCAGAGCTCGTCTATAAAGATACAGAGTATCTAGACACAGCAGTGTGCCATGGTGACTTGATGTTTCCTGCTTTGTATATTGTGGCGGAGTATCTATCAATATGCTGATCCAGTAGATTTCACACCTGATGGCACTCTCAGCTCATAATACCCGCCATCAAATGTGAAAAGGAGAAGCAGTTATTGTGTTGTTGTATTTTAGATCCCGTTATGAGCGATTAGGTGGTGACTCTGATTAAGTTGACATTCAGTCTGCGGTAACTTAAGGACATGTATAAGATGCAGAGGGAATGGTGTGTGTATTAGGGTGTTACATGCACATTCTCTATTTAGTCATTAAATAAAACGTGATGGGAGATGTATAGGGTCTACAGCTGGGGTAGGCAAACTCCAGCTGTGGTGGAACTACAAATCCCATTAGGCATTGCAAGACTGACAGCCACATGTATGACTCCCGGAGGCAGATACATGATGGGATTTGTAGTTTCACAACAGCTGGAGGTCTGTAGTTTGCCTACCCCGATCTACAGTCTCAGTAAATAGATATGACTATGTAGATGTTCCAAGACACAAACAGGGTTATTCACTAAAGGGAGAAGAGTCCGGAGAAGTGAACAACATAGCTGGTTTGGAAAAAATCTCCAATTTGGCTCACTTTCCAGTTCAGCTATGTTGTCCTAGATTGTTCTGCCCTGCACTTGGAGAGAGAGCAGCAGGGCCCTTTTGTTAATAAAACCTGAGAGACGCACGTGGTCCATATGCTACCTGTGTGTGGCCCCCATGGGTATACCCTTCACTGTCACAAATACAGCGACGAGTGTAACAGATGGGGTACATACAGCGATGGGGGGATTACCCCATCCACACTGGTATTGTGGGTAGGGAAATCAAGAGTATTTTCTTCTCCTTTTAGCCCTGCAGCCTATCCTAAAAGTGCATGGACAGCGAAGACATTTAAAGCTGAAATCCAGGCAAACAAATATTGTCTAGATACAAGAGCCATGTATATTGTTACTCAAATTACGCTGTCCTTTCTCTATTTCTTTGAGACTTGTGCTGTAATCTAGCATGCAACAGCACCCGCACTTTACCTCTGTGCAGGGGTCTTCTTTAAGACTGGCCACTGCTGCTCTCTTTCAATTTGCAGGGGGACTGGTCTTGTCTTGGCCCCCTGCTGTAGTTTTCTACAGGCAGCTTGTAGTGGGTGGGGTCTGATAGGTCCCTCCCACAGCTCTGCTCAGGCTAAGTACAGCACAGAAATTAGGTCACTACTACTTACAAGGCAATTTCTTAGTTTGCAAAGGCATTTGATGCACACAAACGTGACTTTATATCCTTTTATAAAGGCTTTTAATTAAATGGAAATGTTTTTGTGTCCAGAGTCAACTTTGCCGAGCAGTAAAGATTCTGTTATTTTTGTGTGGATGCTGCCAAGTGTAATGACATACTTCTTATTTATCTTTGGGTGTCCAGTGGTAAAGTAATCCCACCACAATACCCCATTACTGGGACAATTAAAAAGCCAAATGATGGTGTCATGCCCCAAGGATGGACTCCCTACTACACAACACAATTGGTGAACCAAGCTGTAAGAATGACACCTTTCTTGTAGGACGGTAGAGACTGTAGGGTAGTCTGGCCAGCCAAGTCTCTTACACAAAGCACACCAAGATTAAAGCAACAATACCCATGACCCTTTTTAATTTTTACAAAATGTACTTCTCCCAAAGTCCAACATTTACTTCTCCCAAAGTCCAACATTTAAATTCATGCTGCTATTTCTAAGTGCTTAGAAGTGGAAAATCAAGGGTTTAGGCGTATTACATCTAGCCAGAAGCCTTCCGTTATAGTATTTCCACACAGCAATGGCCTTGGTGGAAGTTAGTCTGTCTGATATCCCGAGGACGCTTTTCTTGGTTACATTTTACTGCATAGATGACTCTGTGATCGTGTTTCCTGTATCCTCTACATGAAGCCTTCAGAAGGGGGTGTCATATTCTGTTTTGTGACAAAACATTTTTCTGAGCCTGTTGAATGCAGTTGG